ATGATGTAATCATGTGGATGAAATAAGTAATCAAAGTTTCCTCATTAACAAGAGTTCTGAATGTTTTTCAAATTGTGGTAGAAAAGTTCATACCACATTTCGAGGGGAGAAAATGTAAGATTAATTGAGAAAGACAATTAAGAAAGATACTTCCCCATACTTGAGATAATGCAATGCATACTATGCATTGAAGGTAAAAGTGATCTATAAAAGATGAATGTGGTCGTTAAGGGAGTAAGACGGTCATAATAAAGATACCCCTAAAGTAAAGAAATAGCTAAATTCCTAGACCTTTTACAGTTCCGATAGGAAGATAGCATAGTTAGCTAGTATTTATAAACGAGTTCGAGTTATCAAGGCGATTGCTAAACGCCATATATATGAGTTTTTAGTAGATTAAACCCAAAATAAGAAATTTGAAGATACACCATCTTTTCAGAAGATGGAGTAATCTGGGGGAGCATGGTATGTAGATACCTAAGGCTTGAATAGAAGTGGGATTACATATCCACTACAATGTTTTTTAGAGCAACAAATTGATTAATACATGTTGATGTTGTATGACATATACAACACCTGATGTTAGCTCTTAAAGAAGATGAATAAGTAAACAAGGATCTTGTGATACAGGAGGTTATAGAACAATTGCCTTTTGGCAATGAAGAGTAACAATAGCCCCATATGAAAGAAGTGCCACGAGGCCCTAGAAGGTCTCAAAGAATAAGAAAATCAGATATTTCTAGTGACTAAGAAGAGATTCCTCATGGAGCCAAAACAGTAGGCTATAATGAGTCTACATGACAAAGGTGACTCCAAAGGGAATATAGAAAGATACCCAAAGAGAATATGGAAAGCTATAAAGCGCCACTTGTGGTGAAATGTTTTACACAAAGAGAAGGAATATATTATAATAAGCTTGCAAGGATTCTTTTATAATCATAATGGTATTAGTGGCACATTACGATTTACAGTTACATCAGAAGGATGTAAAGACACATTCCTCAACGAGGATTTGTATGGAAACGTTTACATGGCATAACTCAAAAGGTTTTGTCGTGGAAGGAAAAGAACGTAAAGGGATGTTGCCTAAAGAAATCCATTTATGGATTAAAGCAAGTTTCAAGGCGTTGGTTCTTGAAGTTTGACAATTACAATAAGAAAGTTTGGGTTTTAAAGAGAATGTAGAGGACAATTGTATTTATGCAAAGTTTAAACATGGGAAATTTATTTTCCTAATCCTGCATGTGGGTAGCACCTTACTAAGCTAGTAGTGGTGTTAATCTCTTTGTTGGAGAAGAAACAGTTCTTGTCCTCAAGTTTCAATGAGAATGGTCTTGGTAAAGCATCATTCGTTCCGAGAATTGGAACTTACCGAGATAAAAGGAAAAGGGTATTAGAACTATCTCAAGTGTATACTTAGAGAAGATTCTAAAGAAATAAAGTATATATGTGAATAAACTGCTTTGTTCCTATAGTCAAGGGTAATAGTTTTCAAACTTTCAGTGTTTCAAGAATAAATGTGAGATCGATTAAAAGGACGTCCTATATGCTTCAAATTGTTGGAAGCTTAATGAATGCTTATAAGCAAGAACTTACCTGACATAGTTCATGTATCCGGATATTTTGGCGAAGTCCATCCGAGATATAGATCAATTTGGAATGGAGATGAGAATGTTTTGCAATTGTGCAAAGATTTGTAAGCCTCATGGTGAGTAAGAAAGAATAAGTACTCTCAAATAGTTGTGGGTACAAATGTTAAATTTTGGCGAGATGTTTAGTGAAACCCACATAGTAGCTAACACTTTCATGATTGGAGTTTTATTGTGAAAAAGCTCCAAAGAAAGCAGGTTGTGGTGTCATCAAGGATGCATACCCACCGTATAGCTTGATATGAGGCTTAAAGGACGAAAAGAAGTGGTTAAAAGAACTTACACCCGGAATTGATAATGGTATGTAACAACAATAACCATTTAAGTAGTTCGCTCCTATAACAACGGGTCAAGTATCTTTGCCAAACACATTGACATTAAAGTTGTATGCGTTGTGAAGGAGAAAGTCCGGAATCATACTAAAAGTATTGAACATATAAGTAACAAGCAAGTGCTTGCGGATCCAGCGTACAAAAGGCTTACCACCCGGTGTGTTTGGAGAACACACATCGACATGGGTTTATGGTATAGCCTATGATTTCCGGACAACAAAGGGCCCAAAGTTAAAGAATACATTTGAGCAGAGATGTGTATTAGGCATGTTAAGTCTATCGGCAATTGACCGTGGCGATGAAGCATGCTCTATGCACTAATCTGTGATGGAACAAATAAAAGTGAAAATGATTAAAGTCAAAGTTTAAAGTTAAAGTATGAGTTGAGATCAAGGGGAGAATGTTGGTTTGATCTCTCAACCACGGTGGCCCAACGGCCACTTGGGCCTTGACCTCGCGGATACGATCGCCGCCAGGTCCATCTATGGTGGCGGGCCCCGTCACATCACATTAAATAGAGGTGGGGTCGACGGCTCTGCATGCGCTGAGCCGTCGCGCCCACCTAGAAACCCTACTCCGATCTAACAGAGGCGCGCCCGGTGGCGGAAGCACCGCCGCCGCCCAGCACACTGCGCCACCACGGTCTTCATCTGCGTCGCTCTCTTCACCGACCGTCCGCGCCGCCTAGCGCAGAACTTCACCGATGAACCTGGCGGATCCCTACTCAATGGATGGTCAGTACCTAACCCTAGCTTTTCCTCTCTCTCTCTGTCTCTCTCTGTTCACACCATTACTACGAGAAACCCAATGAAACCCCACTGGATCCACTCCTAGATGGTCCCAAAGGATCTAACACGAGGCCGCCAGGCGCGCACACGCCGAGTTCGTCGCCAGCGCCGCCGCGGGCGCCGCATCTGGTTCTGGCCCCGCCGTCCAGGTCGTCCGGGCCCTGCTCCAGCTGCTCAAGAAGGTGATAGCGGCCGCGCCGGCGGGCGCTGCCGCCGTTCTGCCGCCTGCCACGCCGGCACCACACGACCTGCACGTTGGAAATAATCACGACTTGATTAGTTTTGAGTCTTGCATGTAGGATAGAATGTGCCTAGTCACGTCATGTGTTGACGTGTTTGCATTTGATTGTTGCATGCAGCTAGAAGCCTTGGTCAAACTGCTCTTGTGCCGTTGTGCGCATGTAAGCAAAGGCTACAAAAGCCGTTACTCATTTGCAATCGGCGTGCGGTGAATATACAGAAAATCGGTGTTTGTCGCCGAGGGCGTTTGTTGCCGCAATCTCGTGTGTCCGTGCCAAATTGCTTTCGCGTGCGTGTGTTCGAGTTTGCCGGTGTTCATCGCGTTCCGGGAGTTGCCGCACGCCGATCTTGGCCCGACTCGCTCCTCGGTTCTAACAATTTGTATCAGAACCATATAAGGGAGCCATCGTGGGTGTATATACCGATCATTCGTGAGAACTCCATCACTGAAGAAGCCGTGTCTCAACACCAACGAGAAGATGACCCGCGACGACGGCAGCTCGGGTGAGCGTCGCGTGGTCAAGGAGAAGATGACCCAAAAGCTGCTCAAGAAGGAGCGTAGCTCGCAGCTCCAGGGAAGGAGAAAGCAAAATCTCCACTTCACACCGACGAATCATCATTTTCGATTACTCACAACTACCAGCCGAGCGGAACGCATTGGGTATATGCAAAGTTGGCGTTGGACCTACGTGACTCCAAACACCGAGTGGTAACGCCGACGTAGCCCACTCAGGAAGACATGCAGCAACACGCCGACTAGAGGTGAAAATGGTCGAGATAAATCCCGTTTCGTTCTGTTCCAATTTCTATAATTGATCTACTCGAATTCGTATTGACGGTCGTCCCATCCATTTTCGATTTTTCCGTTTTGATAAATGTGGAAAAAAAACGTCGTCTTTGTTTTTTCTATTTTTTGCTAGGATATTCCGTTTTAGGAAGTGCAATAATGCAACACAATCAGATATGCTGTACAGTAGTAGCACTGTCTTGCAATTTTATACTTTTGTCGTCTTATGAACTTTACAATATAAACTAGAATTATGTGAAGTCATGTTTTCTGGTTCTATGTGTTAAAGTTCCATTTTGTCTTTCCATATTCCGACCATTATCGGCACATTTTTGTCTGAACTTATCTGTTTTGGATTTTCAATCAATCCCATTTTTTCCAATCTTTATTTTGTTTCTGTAATAAAATGTAAAAGTGAAAATGGAAGATAATTTATTCCGGGTTTTTATCCCTGACGCGGCCCACACACGAAGACACTCTCCCCGCATGTATGAGGTGACAACCTGTGGATGCTAAAAGACGTTGGTCTTCGTGAACGACGGAGAAAACAGGGATATATGAGATTAAACCCTTGTTTAGTTCGCGAAATTTGGATTTTAGGACTATTATAGCACCTTCGTTTTTATTTAGCAAATAGTGTTCAAACATGGACTAATTAGGCTCAAAACGTTCGTCTCGCAATTTCCCACCAAACTGTGTAATTAATTTTTCTTTTCGTCTACATTTAATGCTCCATGCACGGGCCGCAAACATTCGATGTGACAGATACTGTAGCAACTTTTTAGAATTTGGGGTGGAACTAAACAAGGCGTAAATGCGACCACTGACTAAGGAAATGGAATGACCACACACAAACATTGGTGTCATAGAGACAAGTCAAGTCAAGCCCACCGTGACCAGAAACAGCTCTAGTGCCCCATCCAGAATTTTCCAACAAGAAACCCAGATCCAATCCAAATATATACACGAATACTTTAGACAAGAATACTAGGAACCGCATATGTGGCAGTTAGACTAGTCCACGAGTCATGACAGATAAATGGCAACATCATAAGTTTTCCAGGTAGGTGGCTGCATTTGGGGTGGATCGATGGAATATCATCTCCCATGGTCGAAACATAGCCTGACAAAAGAGGAAAACACAAGAGTGAATTTGCGATCAGTTTGAAAATGAATATAATCTCAGTAGCTCCAGAGAACGAACCTAATGGCCATGACCAACAAGTGAAAGAAGGAACGTCCGATAGTCTCCTGATGTCTCGGAGTTGATAGCCTCAGCTAATGGCTTCTTATACTTCTTGAAGTACTCTGCCTTGATATATTGCATATCAATCTCAGTCCTCGTCACCACGACCCTTATAAGTGTCTTGTCATCAGTGCCTAGACCTTTCATGGCCTTTCGTAAGAGCTGTATTCATGTCATTAAGAGAAAATTGGTCACGTTGCAAGTATCAAACTAGGAAAACAGAGGTCTTAAACTATTATCAGATTCTACAATGGTATATCACAAAAAAAAAATTCTACAATGGTAGATTCTACAATGGTAAAGACTTGTTAAAAAGTAGGAGTTGATTGAGGATGCTATCCTAACCTCTGCATAGAAAGTAAACTGCATACATAAAACATAGCGCCATCTGATCTCATGTTAATAGCATATTCTATCAGGCCATCAGCATTCCTATATTTAAGATACTAGGGTAAGCCAAATGAAAAAGGCAGCTAGGACAGTCTAGGAGGGGAGTCATGGGCACCGAAGATACAAGAGCAATCATGGGCACAGAAGATACAAGAGCGATCCACAACATGCTCATTTTGCAGCATTAGCAGAAAATAATACTTAGGAATGGTAGCAAGTTTACATATAATTAAAATAAGAAATAAAATATACAAAGATCAACTCTAGATGGTACAGCAAATTTTATATCAGTATCGTATCAACAAGTGATCTTTGCTTCACTAAATGTTAAATTAAAATTCCATAAGAAAGAAGAACAGCTGTTGGCTGCGGCTAAATCTATCAGCAAAACATAACTTGACTTTAAATCAATCAGTGATTTTATGTACCTATGGTGCCTGCACAGAGCTTTAAAAGCTACAATATTTCTTTACTGAAAACAGCATGGGTGCAGTACCTTAGCAAAATACTTTGCTGGGGTTTCCGCGCATCTGAGGATAGTCAAAAGTGCAAATTCAAAGTTTCCAGATGTTTCGCTCTTGATAACCTATCATATATAAAGGACACTGTGAAAAATTCCAGAGAATAAAAAAAATGCTTATTCCAGAAGTGTACTGAACAGAAGTGTTACCTTGTCTAATTTCCGGTCATACATATGATGGTAAGCAGAAGAAACAGATGCCAAGTGTGCCCAACTGCGTTCAGTGAAAACACGGATAAAGGTCTTCTCATCCGTGCCCAGCCTTTTCTCACCAGCTTTGTACAAATCCTTTGCATCATGTGTCACAATGGTAGGATCAACCTCAGGACCTTCATAGCGTGGAATCCCCACATAGGCAAGTAAAAGCTGAAATATACATTATATTTTAATTACTTCTGGCAGAAAAAGTGCAATTTAAATTTGAACAGATATTAACTACTAACTTATAAAAAGTACTGATTGGCATACAGCACATGAAGTTCATGCTACAGATCCCTTTGTGCATTAGGTAAAAGCATAAATGACTACAGAAAAGCAATTGAATCAACTTCACATCAGTAATTGCAATATGTCAATGAAGAATGGCCATTCCATCAGTCTTATACAACACAGACATTAGATGTGAGAATATCTCAGACATTAGACTCACAATGGCAGATTATGCAGTCATTTAGCAGCACATGGAAGTTGTTCCAAAGAAATTATAGCCAAATATTCACCTTCCTAAGGCTGGTCAGTGTAATACTAAAAGTTGAATAAAATGAGTAATTTAAGTGTCTTTCATGTATCATCATGTATAAGGTGAAGTAGAACAAATGTAAGGCAAATATTCTAAGTACTAAGGATCAGGACCTTCTGGTGATCGCCAGATGTGTGGTGACCAATGTCATGCTCAAGATATGTACCGAATCTAGCATAATAAGTCTGTTTCATTATTTGCAACTGTGATGGTGTCCTGGAACATATAATCTCAGTGGCTGCTCTCAGATCCATAGTTTCACCACTTAGAGCTTCTCTCAAAACAGTTGCATCACGTCCAGCAGGATCAAGAATCCACAGCGACATAGCTTTCTGGAGCCACATGAAACAAAGTTAACATATTTAACACACCGATTTTGATAAATTAAACGTAAACACATGATTGAAGCAACACATATCCACATTTTTAGCTAATTGATTCTAATCATCAGTTTTCATCGGTGAATATATGGTACAGTTGATGAAGCATATTGGTACAGCTAGATTAACGATTTGATTATTTAATAAAGAGAACAATTATTCGAGAACTTTTCATGCCTTGTGGTTTCCACTGAGTTCAGATGAAAGACGATGAAAGAGTTCCTCATGATACATAGCCCTGTATTCCTGTTGAATGAGTCCACGTTGCACTGAATCGCGATGAGTAAGTATGTTTATCACTACTGTACTGTCACAGCCAAACCCTGGACAACCATAAACCAAGGCACAATATAAAGAAAGTCAGCATGTTTAGTGACCACCTCCTGCAAATCAGTAATGAAAAAAAGCTTTGATATTTAAGTAAAAGCATCAAAGTATACACAACATTCAATTACTAGAATTCAGTTCCATGTCTAAGTTCGACTATTTATGCTCACTTGCAGACAGAAGCTGTCATCATTCAAGCACATCAAACCAAACTCACTGTAAACAACAATTTTCAATTTTGTTGAAAAAATAACAGATCAAAAATCCGGTTGTGATAAAAAGGCAAAAGAAACACCTTGAATTAATAGTTACAGACCATCCCAAGTAACACATATTGAATTACAACATTTTAGTTATATAAAGTTACAGGTAATGGTCAGTAACAAATAAGTTCCTGGAAAGTCACATCTCTAAGCCATGGAAAGTCAGAAACACTAAATAGAAAGAGCAGATGGATTACATATGTCAGTAACAAATAAGTTTCTGGAAAGCTAGAAGCAGTTGACCTGATTTTTGGCCTTTTGTTTCAGGCAGTTGATGCACAACACTCTTAAGATATTGTGAGGAAATTGGAATGTTTATGGGAAGGAAATGCATAACAGAATAGAAATGAACAAAACAATAAAATAATTAGAAAACACATCAACTTGCATACCAGTTAGCTACAGAATTCTTTAATCACAATTGGAGCATACAAAACGACACCATACTTTCCTTAAAAACAAAATTTTATATATGTGAATCTTATAGTTATTATGCATTTCTCTCAGCCACCTTAAAAACAAATTCTTATATAGCATTTCCCTCCGCCACTGTACACTAATTTTAGACATGTGTAATATATTGCCAGAATTGTGCTACTTGACTCCAAGAACAGACTATTCAAGACGACCCACACGTGACTTGCCCTTATATCAATCCATTACCCACTTGACCCCATAGTAAGATAAAACAAAAACTGTCTTAATCACCGTAATTGCCATCACTGCATCCAGATCAATCGCTACAAAATTTCTGACCTAGCAACTGCAGTCAATTTCCCTCAAGGAAATATCTAATGGCCTATATAAGCCTCTAATAACAAGAACCCTCCTCGACCACCTCCCCATCTGCCATCTGAACCCAGTCCGGCCAGCCCCCTGGAATAGGGAATTCTAGCTTCGTCCAGCTCCTGGACACATCCCCAAACTCGCATGCGCGGAAAATAAGGTAACCGCCAGGCAACCAAATAGCAACGATGGTTTCCGCCCCCATGCCCCATAGCATAATCTCCTGTTCATTCAGCCACAATATCTGGCCGAAAACGAAAATCGAACAACAACTTCGCGCGGCGGGCCCCGACGAATTGTGGGGCAGACGGAAATTTGGGCGAGAAACCCGAGGGGGGAAGTAGTGGCGTGGCGGACCTTTGAAGGCCTTGTGGAGGTCGATGGCGTCCTGGCGTGGGTTGGGGGCGCCGGCGGCAGGGTGAGGCTCGCCATCGCCGGCAATCGCTGTGTGCGCGCAGCCCGCGATGGATTCGATTCGATTCGATTTGGTCGGCTCGTGGAGGGAGATTAGCGAAATGGGGGTTAGGTGCAATTTGGTGCGCGCTTTGCGTTAAAAGGATGAGGACGACGGAGGTAGCCAGGAGCAGCTAGCGTGGACCGCGTCTAGCCGTCCGGGTCGTTTACGTGACCGCTTCAACGGACGGCACGGAACGGACCTGACTGGGTTGCCATTTGCCAACTGGAGAGGCCATGCGTTGCCGTTTTCCACTCCCTTCATTTCGGTTTTCTGAGTTGATCTGGTGTTGGCTACCGTGGTTATTGTTAAGCCCTTGTTAAGCTTGAAGGTCTACGTCTGCAGCTCCGTCGACATCGCGTCATCGCTTTCGGCATGGACAGAAGCTCTGATGACCCAGTAGGTATAATACTTTTTTCTCACAACCAAATAATATCAGCGGATCATCAGCCAGCTTGTCTCGCTTCCTGCAGACGGCACACTCTGGCTGCAGTTTTTAGCCTATAGCATGCACGAAAGGGAAGTGTCGCTAGCCGACCAAACACATGACATACTCATACAGTGATACAGGCTTTTCTTCGTCCAGGGTGTGTTTGGTTGGAGGACAAAGTTGAATGAGACATAACGATCTATAGATATTAGGATAAGAATATTCAAGATGTATGTTTGGTTGGATGAATGGGACGAACCATTTTTTGATTGGAGGGATGAAAATGGATAGGATAAGAACAGTTGACTAAGGCCCCTGTTTGGCAGGGCTTCACTTCACTAATGAAGTCTTTTTTTTTTGCTTCAGCTTCACGAACAGTTCCACCGGTGGAGCTAAAGCGGTTTTGGTAAACCGTTTGGCAAAATGGCTTCCCTGTGAGAGCATGTTTTTAGGGGCCTGAAGGAGGAGCCGGGAGAAGCCACTTTTTTTTTGGCTCCATCCCACCCCAAATCAATGTGAGAGCATGTTTTTAAGGCTTCACAAGTGAAGCTATTTTACTTTACCCCGTTTAGTAGAAAACGACTTCAAACGGCTCCTAAAGCCGGTGGAGAAGCCCTACCAAACGGGGCCTAATTATATCTATTATTTAAAAATAATAACAACTAATTAGACCCTAATAAATATGTACTAATACTAATTTTGTCATGATAATCACTAATCTAAAATAAATATGTTAATTAGCACCACCACGAAACATGCCCTAATCAATGTATTAACACTTATCAAAACTAATCCTACCATCATAATTACTAAAAAATAATATAACATAATAATATTTTTTAATTTATTTATTAATGACAAAGCTTAGAAGATATGGATAAGCTGGTCCGTGAGATTTTTTCGAACAACAAAATCCAACATCTTCATGATATATTCCCTTTTCAATCCAATCCAATCACATCCAATCATTTAACCAAACACTACATATCTATGAATGATCCCATCCCATCCATGAATATTCAGCCTGTTCGGCAGGTCGTAAACGATCATGGATTATTTACTACTTACTTGGTTTGGTGTGAGAGAAAAATATTATTCTAGCTTATAATCCACGATCGTATACGAGCAAATGAACAGGCTCATCAACAAACCAAACACACCCCTAGTTTACCAAACAACAGATGTTGCATGGATTCGTCCTGGCCAGCTCAGCTTGGTTGCTTAGTGCGAGCCAGGCCCCCAATTTCTCTGAACCAATCATGCCCCTAGCAGCTCTAGTGTTCCGGCCTTCAAGGATATAGACTATATGGTTCGATTTTGTACACCACTAGATGAGCTAAAACATGCAAGAATCAATTTTGCAATTGATTAGGGCGCGTTTGGAGGGGCTCCGGCCGGCTCACTCCATCATTGCAGCGCTACTGTGGTGGAGCCCCAAAACCATGGCTCCGGCGACTCCTCATTCGCGTTGTGTTGTGAAGGAGCCAGAGCCCTTTTTTCTCACTCTGGATGCGAGAACCGGAGCCCTTGGAGCCAAAATAAACGGGTTGTTTCGATTTTGATGGATCGTGGAAGCTGTTAACTTCCATAATCCATTTAAGTACATAGCTACAGCTTTTATCAAGCTTACACAATCTAGAGAACCATAGATTCCATAATCCGGGAAGCTAGGAAAATAAGATTCTTCAAGCTTCCAGATGTCAAAAGACAATTCTGCTCCTCACTATTTCTCCGTCTATCTAAAAAAACAAAACTAATGGCATTATGATAATTTTGCTCTATAAAACAGCCTCCCTCATCTTTTACAATTTATGGATCCAAGGGTATCAAACACGACCATATATAACACTACTACATATTGACTTATCACTATCACCACTTTTACTGCCGTAGCGATAAAAGCGTCGGTGTGATACTTCCACTGTCGGTTGGACCGATAGAGATGCCTCCTAAGGATGAAAACCGGCAGTTGAAACTGCTACCACCGATAGGTTAACGATAGATGCGGCAGTGGTATTGGGGTTGCATTTCCTCCGTCACATGAAAAGCCAGGCGGGCTGGGATACGCGTTTTGGCCGGTGGTCCAAAACTAGTGTTTGGTCAACCGGCGATAAAAATTCAGCATGAGTGTTGAATGCCCTTAACTTCCAAGGCCGTCAAATCACCATTACTTCCACCGCCTGAAGCCAAAGAGTCATACACATTGCTCTACATATTCTTCAAGTCCGGTGCCCTCTGAAACCACCACTCTTCTTCATCCATCATCCCCTTCTCTTCCTATCTGCAAAGAAAATGTCGAACAGCTCCATCAAGTTTTTAAGCAGCTCATGTCCAGCGAAGACGACTTGCCAGCCCACCAGTCCTTCCGAGGAGGATGTCTCCTCCGACGACTGGATGTCTTCTGATTATAGTCCTCCGTGGAGCTTCGAGAAGGAAGACCCGAAGGAGGACGAGGACGAGGAGGACGACGCCGATGGACGACGATGACGACTCCAACTCTGACTCTGACTTTGACTCCCCTGCTCCCAAGTGATCGAGGCGATCATGATCCTCTCTGCAAGAGGATCATATTTAGATTAAGTAGTTTATTTTAATAGTTTAGGTTAGTTATTATGTTTTCGGACGAGTATAATCGTATACTCGTCCAAATTGTATTTATCTATATATGCAATGAATCAATGAAAAAAAGTTCTTTGAAATATTATGTTTCCTACTACTGTTCTTGCTATCTATCTTTGATCCTTGCTATATTCTAGGAGATATTGCTACGCGACGAATGTTTTTTTTCTTTTTCTGTATATATATGAATGAAAAGTAAAAACTGTCATGTACGGTTCCGGTTCCAGCAGAATCTAATAGCAGTTCAACTGCTGACAATCATCATATTATAGCGTTGGATTAGCGTGGCAATGGTCGGCTTAATACAGATACTGTTTACCTTATCCCGTGCAGTCCGTTCTCGCTGCCGATCAATCTGGACCGTCCGTTTGTAAAAGAAACCTAAAACTGTCCGATCCGTTCCCCAACTCCCTTCAGCCCTGTCGGCGCATTGGTGGCTGTTGGAACCACTAAAAACCCAATATGAAGCCATTAGTTCTTCCCACCCGTTGCTTCGTCTTTATTCTTCCCACCAGTTGCTTCATCTTCATTCTCCCCACCTGTTGCTTCATCTTCATTCTCCCCACCCGCCTTTGCTTGCCCTGCCTTGAGCACCTTGCATTGTCGTCGTGGACAACGCCCCATGAAGGTTAGATGGATTCGATCAACCCCCCCCATTGTTTGCATTTGGTTCCAATTGGTTTTGGGTTCGATATCAGTTTTATTCATATTAGGAATTTCTTCATTGCAAGAGATGCCTTACTTCAGAAGAAGTCATTACAATGCGAGCAGCCTTGCCTTTTGGTGGCTATGGGTGGCACCAGGATCCTAGATGATGTTGTTTGCTACTTGGGGACGGAGCATTCACCCGGACCTACTGTTGATTATTGAAGCCGCTATTCGTCACCTCCTCATACCACAAAATTTGACAAGAATCGTTCAAGACCCTGTTTGTGGAGAGATTTTTGTGCCTTGCAGGACTAGACAAGAAGTAGACATACTTTATAGATGCAATGTGTCCATGGACGGAGATGATGTCATCTTCGCTATGGTTCACTACCTCTGGCTTTTAGGACTGTATCAACCAATTGAGTACCTTAGCAACTGCCTACCCATCTGACATTAAGTCTTCGATTTTGTGAAACTTTTATGTTAATGAAGTTTATATGTACTGATGAAACCTCTGGATTAGTATGTATGAGTACTGCATAATCATTGAACTATTACTTCGGTTAAACTATTAATTGCATCAGTTGGTCTTGATTGTAGTCCACATGTACACCTCTATGTAAGCACAGAGGATCCAAAACAAGCCTTCTTCTATAGGTGAATAGTACCCTGAACCGGCAGTGACATAGTATTTCATCTTGGTGGGAGTCCGAGGGTTTTGAAGGACGTTTCGGCACCTTTGTGGGAGGCAAAAGCGTAGACAAAAGGCATAGACCGACCTCTTCACTCAGAGTGTGCAACACTTTGAACCCTGACTGCTCCATGGCTGCATCTAGCTCCAACTCCTCCCAGTGGTCGGCACCATCCCAGGGCACCATCACGAGAAGAACACCGGCTTCCAGCAGAGGAGGCTACAATGGGAGGGGGCCACCCATCCTGTGCCATGTCAAGAACCACCCCTACGCATACCAGCCACCACTCTTGTGTCGCTGTAGTTTGAAGACGCCTCGGTGGATTTCGTGGAGTGATGGAAACCCAGGACGTCGGTACCATAGATGTTTGCAGGGCAAATAATGTAACTCGATTTCTTTCTTGTTCATTCTATTTTTGCAATGCAAATGCTGAAATCCCGTTGTGCTTATGGTAATTTGATTTTTCGTAGCCCGACTTAGATTGCGGGTTCTTTAAGTGGCACGATCCCCAATATGGAAAATTTCTAAGGACTTTGATTTTAGATTTACGTAACAAGACTTGGGAGCTGAAGGTGGAGGCCAATGTTACAACAAATGAAGAACATTTGCAGGAGGAGGAAGAGATTATGCCACAAATTGAAGAAATGGCTAGGGTTCCAACGAAGATGATGGAAGATTTCATACCTTCGAGAAATAAATGTGCTTCCTATTCTTCTTTCACCTATTTTGTACTTAACTTAGTTCTTGGCATGTTCATTAGCAAGTTGCTTAGTTCACCGCAGTAGATTCAAGTATCAATTTATGATGTATCGGACTAAAATCTATTACTTTTGTATAACTATTGTTAAACTAAATGTAAGGGATTATCTAGGTGT